TCCGCCAATGGACTAACAACCTGGCTCCTACTTACTGATAGGTAAACAGTGGCGTGAGGAGTCAGGAAGTTTGCCTAAGGCTCGAGCAAGCGCTCGAACGACGATTTTGGTGGTGGGGGGGACTGTGCTACCGGGCATAGTCCATCCCTCCTTCCCTCCCTCCCTCCCTGCCACGCACGGCTGCTTGGAAGCCACGGGACTCAGAGCTAACGAGGGGTTCTTCCTTTAAGGTGAGGGGCACGAGAGAGATGCGCGTCCGATAACATTCCTACGCGCGGCTGAGATGGCAGAGGCATTTGCTTGGTCTCTGCTGCCCCCTGTTGCCCCATGACAGCCACCATTACGCCTCCATCCATCGTAATTTGGATCGGCTTGAAAAAAACACGTCACAAATATATCTGATCGATTCGTACCTTGGGGTCCTGCCCTGCGGAGAGACATTGGAAAAACCCTAGGCGAAGATTTAAACGGTAAATACAATCTGCAAACTGACCGCAAAACCGGCATCGCAAAATAAATATTAAAAAAGAGAGAGAGAGAGAGAGAGATTGAGAGAGAGGGAGAGAGAGGGAGAGAAAGAGAGAGAGAGAAAGAGAGAAGCTCGTGCCTCTCCTCCCGTCCTGGTTCGGGAGTTAAAAAGGAAGAAGAAAATATACGAAAGGGAGAGGAGTAATAATGGCGGAACAGCACAGAGAGAGAGAGAGAGACACAATAATCATCCACTTACAAAAAAACATCTCCAAGTCCTGTTCATGACAACAGCAAAGCATAATTTACAGTGTTGGGAGCTCAGCCACGGACCAGATTTACAGATAAGGGCTCCCACCCACACACCCACCCACACACCCACCCACACACCCACACACACCCACCCACACCCTCCCTCTCTCTCCCCCCACACCTCCTCCTCTCCTCTCCCCCGGGGAATGTGGTCACTTGTTGTACAGATATCTCCCGACCCACCCACCCACCCACCCAGACACTTCCCGAGTGAGGGAAGGGAGGTTCGAACCTTCCAGGACGTGCAAACGCTGCCCCACACCCCTCCCCAACCCTCAAGGTTTAGGGAATCTGGGGGAGATTCTCCCACCCCCCCCACACCCCCACCCGCTTCGCCCCCTCCGCCCCCGAGACCTCTGTTTCACGTCTCCATCTCGGAGACTGACTGACACCTCTCAGCCCACGCACAGACACACGCTTACACACACAGGTGCGGGCACGCACGCACGCTTGCCCCCGTTCACACACACACACACACACACACACACGCGAATACGTAGGCACACACATGTACATGCTTGCACGCGCGCACACACACGCGCGCACGCATACAGACACACGCACACGCGCGCGCGCGCTCAATGTACCCCGTTCCCTCCGAGCAGGATAACGAAACACAGTACTTCCCCCGACAACGCAGAGGGGACACAGCGACTCTCATCGACCTCGTCTGTATGTCCGTCTCCTCGCAACGATGGTCAGTGACAGCACGGGTCGGGGACACAGTAAAGCTCCCTCTACACTGCGCGTGTTGGGGGGGGTGGTGGGGGTTGCGGAGGGCGGGAGAGGGAGGAGGTGGGGGAGAGGCAGAGGGGGAGCGCGGGAGGAGAAAAGTGCAGAATTCAGACAAGCAACAAACAACGTTCTGCAGGACAAAAAAAACAGAATATTTTACGCCAACGATTCAGTGATTGGCAGAGAGAGAGACTGATAGGAACCGCGTTGATCAGACGGATGGAGTCTGTCGTTAGCCTCAGAGTGAGGGAACTGTGTGTGTTTCACCGTTATTTACAATCGATCGCTGGGACTCCAACACGTGGCAGTGCTCAGGCTCCTGTGTCCCACAGCTAACAGTCAGGGGGTGTCTGTGTCTGTCTGTCCACCCAGCCGTCTGTCTGTCTGTCTGTCTGTCTGCGGTCTTGCTCCCCGGGGGAAGAGACACCAGGGCAGTCAGTGTGTGTGTGTGTGTGAGGGTGTGTGCGTGAGGGTGTGTGCGTGAGGGTGTGTGCGTGAGGGTGTGTGCGTGAGGGTGTGTGCGTGAGGGTGTGTGCGTGAGGGTGTGTGCGTGAGGGTGTGTGCGTGAGGGTGTGTGCGTGAGGGTGTGAGTGAGGGTGTGCGTGAGGGTGTGTGTGTGGGTGTGTGTGTGGGTGCGTGAGGGTGTGTGTGTGGCTTGGCGTCCACTTCAGCCGCTGTGTCAGCTGCCGTCGGACAGGATCAGGGACAGGACAGGCCGGGCGTCTGTTAACAGTCGTGTCAGGTTGTATTGGCTTCTCGTTCCCTCCTACGCAGAGTGAGAGTCGCTCATCACCCTCGACCTTCACCTGGGGAGACAACGGCAACAGTGAGGGGGCGGGGGGGGGGAATGGGGGTTGTGGTTGTATGTGTCGGAGAGGTGTTTGTGTGTGTGTGTTGGGGATTATGTACAGGAGGGGTATTTGTGAGGGGGTGTATATAGAGGAGGGGTGTGTGTGTGTGTGGGGGGGTTTGTGTAAAGAGTCTGTACACTCACCTCACGAGGTGTGACTAACAGGAGTAAGTGCGGACGGAGGTTGCCTCTCCTCGTTGGCTCGCGGGCGAGTTGCCTGTCAAACACACGGGGCACACGTGAGCGGCCGACACACACGCACGCACGCACGCACACGCATGTCCTCGGGGCGGGGAGGGTGGGGTAGGGTTAGACTTACTGTCCGGCTGCACCTTGCGGAGCTGCAGGCTCTGGGAGGCGATGATGGCTGGCGTGACCCGGAAGTTCGCCGGCAGTGTCTCTGATGTGTCCGACGTCATGTCCCTCATCTCCTTCGCTCGGAATCGCTTGCGCCACGAGGGGGCGCGGCTGAAGTTCTTGGCGTCGTCCTGTCCCGGGGGTGGGGGCGAGGGTGGGGGGAGGGGGTAGGGGTGGGTGGAGGGCGCGGGGGTGGGGGTAGGGGGTAGGGGTGGGGGAATGAGGGAGGGTGTGGGGAGCAATATTGAGAGGCGTTATGTCTCCACAGCATCAACACAGCTCTTTTATACAGCGATGGAAATCTTCCCCCGATTCCCACACACACTCCCCAACACCCGCGCACATTCCCCAAAACACACACACACGCTCCCCAACACACACACACGCACTCCCCGACACACACCCACGCTCCCCGACACACACACACGTACTCCCCGACACACACACACGTACTCCCGACCACCACACGCACTCCCCGACACCACCCACACTCCCCGACACACACGCACTCCCCGACACACACCCACACTCCCCGACACACACACGCACTCCCCGACACACACACGCACTCCCCGACACACACACACGTACTCCCCGACACACACACGCACTCCCCGACACACACACACGTACTCCCTGACACACACACGCACTCCCTACCCACCGTCCCGACACACACACACGCTCCCCGACACACACACGCACTCCCCGACACACACACGCACTCCCCGACACACACACGCACTCCCCGACACACACACAGACCAAAATTAACATTTATAGCGCCTTCCACACACACAAACACCTCTCACACACATACAACCACAACCCCGTCCCTATCACACACAACCAACCAACCCCCCAAACACACTCTGACACTCTCCCTCAAACACACACACACTTTCCCTGATGAACTCACCTCCTCCTGTCGTCGATCAGTGCCGAGCAGCAGCAGACTGTTGAACTCCGTCTCCAATATCTGACGAGCCTGTCTCACACACACACACACACACACACACACACACAGATACACACACACACACACTACACACACAGATACACACACACACACACACAGATACACACACACACACAGATACACACACACACACACACAGACACATACACACACACACATACACACACACACACAGATACACACACACACACAGATACACACACACACACACAGACACACACACACACACACACACACACACACACACACAGACACATACACACACACACATACACACACACACAGATACACACACACACACAGATACACACACACACACACAGACACACACACACACACACACAGATACACACACACACACACACAGATACACACACACACACACAGATACACACACACACACACACACACACACACACAGATACACACACACACACACACACAGATACACACACACACACATACACACACACACACACATACACACACACACACAGATACACACACACACAGATACACACACACACAGATACACACACACACAGATACACACACACACAGATACACACACACAGATACACACACACACACAGATACACACACACACAGATACACACACACACACAGATACACACACACACACACACACACAGATACACACACAGACAGACATGGACACACACACACACAGACAGACACACACACAGGCAAAGGTTACACAGACCCTACAGCACGGAAAACAGCCCAACAAGTCTGTGACGTGTTTATACTCCACAAATCTCCCCTCCCTCACCCCCTCTCTCCCCCTTCTCTTCCCCTCATCACAGCTTCAGGCAGCGAACTCCACACTCTCACTGCCCTCCGGGTGAAATAGTTTGATCCTAAATTCTCTTAAATCCAAGGAAGGAGGTTCGGAGCGAGAGAGGGAGAGACTCTCATTTGTTACAGCGCCTTAATGTGTCGTCGAGGCGTCTCCAGCACTGCACAGAATACATTGTGAAGTGTAGTGACTGCACGGTTTGTGGGCAGCCAATTGCGCCCGGCAGCGTCCCCACAAACAGTCGTGGATCGAAGTGACCGAATTATTATTATTATTTTTTTTTGGAAGGGATCATTATCCCAGGAAAAGCGATGCGTCAATCGACTAACAGCTGCTGGGTAAACAAAGGCGTGCGTTTGTGTGCGCGTGCGCCTGTGTGGGGGTGTGCGCGTGTGTGTGTGGGGGGGCGCGTGTGTGGGGGCGCGCGTGTGTGGCGTGTGCGTGTGTGTGTGGGGTGTGTGTGTGTGCGTGAGGGTGTGTGTGTGGGGGTGTGTGTCCGTGGGTGGGGGTGTGTATGGGTGGGGGTGTGCGCGCGCGCGTGTGGAAACTTGCCCAACGTTTCGTCCCGCCCGGGAATCGAACCCGGGTGCCCTCGGTTGCGAGGGGAGGGCTCCGACCCCCCGCCCCACCCCACCCCCCCCCCACCCCCCGAGCTACGGCACCAGCGACCCGGCTTTTCGGCCGCCGTTCGGTCTCGTTGCCGTACCTGAGTGCTTTGCGTCGGGATCTGCAAGAGCAGCGCGATGTCGTTGTGGTCAAAGGTGTCATCGAGAGCGATGAGGGACCCGTGGACCCCACTCTCCAGGAGGTTGTTGGCGAATTCCTTCAGTCCGATGTCCTGCACCCAACTCATCATCCTCTCGTTGGTCCAGACCATCACGTCTGAGGCACAGGAATAATGTTAAGAAACGGTGACGGTACTCCTCCCCGCGCCCGACACAAGCGCCCGATCACGTCGTCGGGACGTCCCGAAGCGCTTCCCTGTAAAGCGTGGTGACTGTGCGTTTGGCGGGCCAAGACTGACCTTTGACTTCGCTGATGCTCTCTTCCCTCTTGCTCTCCAGGTCCTTCTTGTCGTAGTTCAGTCGTTTCAGGCACATGATCCCGTAGTGAAGGCTGATCCTGCAGCACACACACACACACACACACACAGGGGCCCGGGTCAGTCACAGCCCCCGAGCCCCCCACCCGTTTGGACACCGGCCCCCTCCTCTGGGACACTGCCCCGTCCTCTGGGACACAGCCCCGCCCGCGCCCCTGGTTGTGTGTGTGTGACAGAGAGAGAGTGTGTGGGTGTGTTAGTGAAAGGGTCTGTGTGTGTGGGTGTCAGTGGGGGTGTGCGCGCGCCGGTGGGTGCGTGGATGGGTGAGTGGGTGGGTGGGTGGGGGGGGGGAGTAGAACGCAGTGTAAGGGGGAAGCCAGCACCTCACATCCACCTACCGATGGAAACTGTCCACCATCTTCAGAGTTTGAAGCCCAAGGCTCCAGCACCGCTCTCTCAGGGGTCCCATTATCTGCAGGACTGATAAAACTACCTTGTCCCTGAGCATTAACCAGATGCAAGCATCTCCCGGGGAGTGATGGTTTCCTCCATCATACTGTCC